CCACCGTTGCCATGGAGGCACATCTTGCTTATCATGCTGGTCTTGCTGCAGCGGAACAAGGGTGAAGTCACTCGAGAGGTCAAAGGTCGCAGGCCCATGTGTGGCCAGGCAGGCTGAATTGGGAAGGAGAAGATCAATCAGAAGGAAGATGGCGGCAGGTCGTTAGTAAAAACAGCGAATTAATGTCATGTTTGCAGCCATGTTTAAAGACGACATCGTCCTGTTTTGATCCATCAATCATCATTCAGGAACTACGGGGATTTTTAAATAGACAGTAATTTACATTTTTTTAAATCCCATTTGGATCCTCTCCGAATTGAACACTCTCCCCCGAAAAATGTTTTTAAATACTGACAACTAGCATTAGAAACGTGGACTTGTAAACTGCAACTCTCAAGCATTGAAATTCTATTTATTGAAAGATAAAGCAGAAAACGAGACAAATTTTGCTCATGTTTCTTTTAGTGCCATCATAAATATAAAAAGTGATGTTTAAAATGTCTTTTGCATTGTTTTATCAGTCATGTCCCACTCGCCCCAACCACACACACACACACACACACACACACACACACACACACACACCTGACTGCTGAACATTACAAGGACAAAACACATGCAACAATAAGTCTTTGTCTTATAGTTTTGCACCTCCTTGCTCACCTCCTAAACCATAGAAGGTAAAAAAGTGCAAATACAATATTTTTTAATGTACAGTATTTTCCTCCGTTTTGTGTGTCTATGATTGCATGCGAAAGGTGGGGAAAACGGGTGGGAGGGGGCAAGACCAAAATGTGCTTTTTTTAATCCTACACTTTTGTACCTAAATTCTCACCTGTAAAAAAAGAAAGAAAAAGAAAAGGCAGTGCTAAAAGTGGGAAAATTTTCACAAAATGACACCCGGCTTGTCTACTTAAAAATAGACACCCCCCCAAAAAAATAATTAAAAGACTGCAGAATCAGATGTTTTTTCCAATGCAAAATTTGGCGAAATATAACATTTTGCATCTGCGTGTTTTTCTCCCAAACAATGTCAGGTGTAGGGAAACAAAACCTGATTTTTCTTGCAAGTTTGCATGCCACAGAACAGGAAAAAAAAAAGATCAACATTTGCTGCTTTAAACACTTTTGCGCTTGCTAAACAACTCGAAGGGAAAAGGGGAGCAAATGAAAGATTGTTTTCCCAGTTCTTTCGCAGCAAAAAAAGGATTTGCACCATCTCGCTTGCCTGCTAAACAACAGAAGAAAATGTGAACAAGTGACTTTTTTTCACTCAGTTTTGCAGTTTTTCCTGCATGACTGCTATTTTTTTTTCACTAACTAGTGGTGTGCTTTTCAGTTCCACACCAGCAAAGTTTGACTTTACTTTATGGCTATTATTGGAAATGTCCAAAGGACAATCCTGTAGAAAAAAATGACTTCTAAAAAAATGCTGCCACACAGTTTTTTTTCCAGTTATGTGCTGCTTAATACCCCCCCAAAAAAAGATGGTGGATCTATTTATGCCTGCGACATATACTGACAGGCACAACAATTCCATTGTTATCATGACTTCACTCTCCTCGCTGACATCTTGCGTTAACTCCTGAGAATTTTCTAATTAACGCGCATTGGCTCAAGAAAGCTTCCACGAAACCTATTTGGATGTGACAACACTGCAGCTCATTCATGAACTCGATGCACACAAATGAGTGAACATCGACAGCCTCGTTGATGCTGATGACGGTTTTGCAGTCACCGGCGGACTGACAACTTGGGTTTTTTGGGGTTTTTTTTTTTTTTTTTTTGCTTGGGCTTCATTATTGTTGTTTCTTCTG